GGGAAGGGGGAGGCGCAAGTGTGGGGAGGGAAAGGGGAGGGGCAGAAGGAGCGGAAGTGTGGAGGTTAGCTTGAAGTTGGCCATTACAATACATCCTCGGTCCTAGCTCGAGTTCCGCAGACATGAACTTTGTGGGTCCCAGCGCCCGATAATCTGCGTGCCATTTCATGATACTAAGGGGCGGAATCAAACGCGGTGACCTGAAACTTTTACGCCCTTACTAACACGTGAGAAGGATGTCCTTCCACCCACGCTTTTCAGGGGGTTTATTATGTGTAGCATCGTGGGGAAATCAGGCGCTCGTCAACATTTATAAAGTCAAAGAAATGGGCATGTTTTCCTCCCAACGCGTAATTTTTATCGAATTTTATTTTTTTGCTCACCACTTTTATGTCCATGTAAAATACATTCCTGTGTGGATTTTTACCGAGAAAAAACTTGATCAAAGTCACAATAAAAGTCGACTTCTATCCTAGGTAGGAAGGGTTTCTTTTATTCTTTTATCAAAAATAAGACAAATGAATAGGCTTTAAAATGAATGAAAGAAATAATTCCAGTTGTCCAAAATTTGACTAGCGCCTGGTTCCAGGTTTTGCAACTCAATCATATTAGTATTTCTAAATCACTTAAAAGTAGGTCACCCAAAAAGTTGTGAAGATTCATTGAAAACCCGAGAGAACTTACGAAAAAAAAAATTCTCTTTCTAACAATCTCTCACTGTTTAACAACTTAGTGATGAACTATTTTTATCTTTGGAAAAGTTATTTAGTTGGGGTTTTTTTTTGCTTTTATGCTCGGTGTTAGGAGTATCCGATCTACATTTATCTAAGCTAAGATTGGAAGTATACTGAGAATGTACTCTGTACTTTACTTGATTTATAGAAAGAATCAGTCTGATAAATAGTTATACAGTTACTCTTAATACAGAAAACCCCACCCAAAAAAAAACAATTCTTTAATGAAACGTGACCTTATAATTCGAGAATAAATGACGAAAAAATCAAACTGTGTCGAAAAGCGGCAAGAAAAAAAAAATTCAACAGCCTAACTCGACGTGAATATAGCCTACAAGAAGTGGTAAATACATGTAGTAAGGCGTTGGTATTTCCCAGGCTACGATCAGCAGCAATAACTCCCCTTACTTTTCTGCTCGTCCTGCCCATACGGCTGCACCCTGGAGCGGAAATAATTCGAACTAAAAATGGGGACAGGACCTCC